TAAATAGAAATATGGAGAATCATTCTGACCTGTTGTGGTCATCTTCTTGAGCCCTTGGCAACAAAAGAACTGCTCTATTATTTTTTCATAGTCAAAAACCAAGTGAAATCTAAGAGCTACATTTCTGAGGGGTGCCTTGAGTCTAGTGAGGGCTGCCTTGACATTTTAAAAAGTTGAGAACGTGACAGGATAGTCTGCTATGCATTACACTCCACAGCCACATATGAAGATGAGAAACCTTTGAGAGACTCTTGTGTTAATTAAAATAAACAGGGGTTAAAAAAAACCTTGTTCATACCATTTTACAGCAATCAGTATAAATGTTTGCAGCAGTATAATATTATGCCAGGCAACTGGTACTTTGTTGTTGTTGTTAAGAAATATTTTGGATAAAATTTCTTTATGTTTTCCTCCACTACCAAGCTCAGATGGTTATTGAATTGTTGAAAGGTTAATTAAATGTTTCTACCTGGATGCAAAGTTAAAGGTGATTTAGAAGTTTGGTGAAAACAGGGCCCTCTTTACTCTCTTTTTGTTTCTTTAGGATGTGTGATATGGGGTCTGTCTTGTCAGTTTCTTCCACTCCAGAAATAGTAGTGATCCCAATTTTAGTTTTTTGGTTTAGCAAAAATTCTGATTAGGAGTCAGTTTGTCTTTAGTTCAGGTAAGTTCATTATGGTGCCCAATATATTTCACTGCAATTCCCACCTAACTCATTACTATAATCTTAGAAGTAATAAGTAGTTTGTACTATGTATTCATTTCTTCTGCAGGAGATAAAATGCCAGTCAAATAGATTGACTCATTTGTATGTTTAAGCTACTGTCTGTTAGTATTCTTGTTATAAATTTATTTGTATAGACCTTTTACAAGCTGTGGGCTGAGACAACCCAGCTTTTGTCCAACATGGGCTGGATGGCTTTGGTGACATGTCAATGGTTGGCATCTTTCCCTTGGCTTTGGCCTCTGGATTTGGCGTGGGTACAGGCAAAGCCTCCAGCTTTGGAGGCTGTATCTAATGGCTTCTCAGATCATATAGCCTCCTGGCATTGCCAACCCCTGGTATAGAACATTAGTAGTCTGTGAGGCTTTTTCAGATGAATAAGTGTCTCCTTGTCTTGGGAGTGTGTGCATATGTGTGCAGTTTTGTCCAAGGGCTGTATCTTAGTCTTATTGAATCTAATGGGGAGTCATGAAACTGACTTTCCATACTGGGGGTGGCCAACCTGGGACACTCGTGCCACTAGTAAAGTTGGTGGCCTCTGTTTGTGGCACGTGGCTGACTGTGGAGGGAGCAGGAAACACAGCAGCAGATGGAGCAGGGAGCAGAAGATAGTACAGCAGAACAGGCAGATAGCAGAGGACAGGAAGCAGAAAGTAGAGCAGCAGATTGAGCAGGGGAAGGGGGTCCAAGTGGCACTTAGGAAGGTTGCAGAGCTTAATTTGTGGGGCACTTACCAACAAAGTCAGCCTGAACTTACCTAAATAGTAAATCCTGAAAGGTAACAAATGCCTCCTGTCAACTGTTAAGTGAATTCACCTATCACTGATCTTTACTGATAGCCAGGTTCTCTAGCACTTTGCAGGAACATTTGTGGGATACAGCTTATTTGCAGCATATTAAGTATACTGATATTCCCTTGGCTTGTAATGGCTACAGAGCTTTAGGATTACCATTGAAAAGAGAGAAGATTCCATGCATGTGACAAAGGGGAAGAAAAGACTCATTGAAAAACTATGTTGCACATTACTGGGGCTAGGGAGGGGAATAAAGCTCGTATCCTATTACTCTATACATAAATGCAGAATAAACAACCTCTTCCCCATCCTTATCGCAGACATTTCTTTTCTATTTTCAGTAATAGAGAGTAGAAGAAATAGAACAGAAGAATCACAGAAGAGATGGACAAGAAGTGGCCATGGTTGATAAAGAGCACTTTCTGCACTCCTGATTTAGGAGGAGGAATTTACTGAGCCTATTAGACAAAGAGTAATACTCAACAGAACGTTATCCTTGAGAAATGTCAGGGGATCTTTGAAACGTAGAAATGAAAGCTAGACTCGGCAGATGTGACATGAAACCATTACACAACTTCGCTATCATGTGCTGTCGCTTGCTGAACTGTGAAGAACTGCGTATTTGAGCTGCTCTCTCTAGTATTGCCAGTCACCTTTTTTGGACTTGAAAGTGATATTTTCTTATTGACTCTAGTGATTTCATTTGCATGTGTTTGGTGATTATGCACAAGCAAAATATATAATCTGCTTTACCTATTTAAAAATCCATCAGCACAGTGGTGAGTACAATTAATTTCACTTTCCCCCCCTCTCACAGAATCCTAATCACTTAGGTCTGTGTCACTGCAAGTCAAAAATGATTTCATATAAAGGTTAGTGTAAATGTCTGCACATACTTTATGGAAACTAGCCTCTAAAGACATTTTCACTGTTTATTGGTGAGGAGAAAAAAGCTATTTATAACAAGGCCTTATGTTGTGTACATACGTTGTCTTTGAAATATTTGTGATTTAGTTTATTGCTTGTAAAAGAGAAATTATATAATTTATTTAGTATATACTACCGTAAACTATAGTTTTATTGACAGAAATAAAATATTTTGTTCTCAAAACCTGTGATGAAAACTTGAAGATATTTATGAGGTTTACGCATGTATTATCCTTGTGCTCCAGTACCTTTTTGAACATCTGAAATGGTCTTTATGTAGGAATGTGCCAGTCAGTATATAACAAGTAATCTGTCCACATCTTCTGCTGCTGCTTCTATGTGAGGAAATTTTAAGATATTAGAAAAAAGGCAATGGAAGAGCATAGCAGGAAGGGTAGAAGCAATCTGGTTTCTTTTAGTTTTCTGTCACAGTAAAGTTTTTAAATATCATTTTAAGAATCCACACTGTGACGCAGCAGAATTTTGGGAAATTTCATGAATGTCATGTTGAAAGTGCATGGAAGCGGGTAGGGATGACATTTCTTCGAGAAATAAGTATTCCCCAAAGAGTGAAAAAAGTATCAAAACAAGTGGCGTAGACCCTGGACATAACGTTTTGCATTTCTGTAAAACCTTCTATAGAAGGATTTTTCCTAGTACTAAGCAAAAAGCATCCAGAGGCTTTTTATGAAGTGTTTTACCAACAGGACGGAGAATCAAGGAAGCTAACATTTTTTCAAACACTTAAAAACAGGCTATGATGGAGCCAGGACTAGAACTTAGTTCTCTTGACTCCTAGCCACATTAACTATGAAACCATTCTGCATTTCAGGAAGATAATTCCCAACAACACCCTGACTGAAAGTGAGAGAGAAAGAGAGATTAATTTATGCCTTGTGACTGCTATGTATAATAAGTACGTGGGTGTCAGCTTCTCTATGGATAATCTTTTACACATTTAGTGTTCCTTTGTATAAACAAGTAGTCTTGCTACCCCAGAGAAGGCATTTGTTTGAACATAGTGAATCAATGCAAGTACATACAGTTCTTCTACACTGTAATTCTCAGATAATGTGTGTTCTGTGCAGGTAGTACATAAAAGTCTTTATAAATGAAAATACAGGCTTCACTGGAAATTGGCTCTGTATAAAAAGTTTACATATCAAGTACAGTGTATTTTTATCCTATTGCCCCAACATCCCTGCTTTTCCCTATGAATGGAAACATCCATCCAATGCCAACAAAAGTAAATCCAGATTAGATTACCAATGTGAGAGGTAATCTAATGTGATCCTTAAGGGGGACTTTCCCCCTTAAGGATCACATTATATAAATAGTACAGTATTTGTGTTCCTCTTAAGGTTAGTTTCCAATGAAAGAAAAGAGAAATTCCAGAGTTCAACATACCTGAGGGTCAGTGATTCAAGCTTGAAACAAGTAAGGTCCTCTCTCTAAGGCACAGAACCAGGAAGAAAATCATACCCAAGTATTAGTACAGTATATTTATGAGGACTATGCATGTTTTACCTGCAAGCAACTGGATGTTACTTAGTCTGCCTGAATAGCAATTCTTCTACAAAAACTGAAGGGCCATTTATATACAATGATAGGTGATAAGGGGATGTTTATCAGGTAACATTCAAAAGGATATGGAAGGTACAGTTGCCAATAACATGCTCCCTGGGCTAGGAAAAGGATGTATTAGCATATATCTCCAGGTTTCAACAGATGGAACTCACCATAGGGAACAACATAAGAAGCAGGTCATGAGAATGTGGCACTATCTGTATACACAGGTATTTAAATATCTTGGCCCTATGAACAGTCCAGAAGGAGAAATAGATAGTTTGAGGTCTGCTTAGGAAAATACGGAAAAGCTTATTAGATTGATATTGTTCTAATGTCCTATAGAGTTCTGGAAGAGAAGAACAAAGATGCCATTTACATTTTTAAATTAACTTGTGTTATTCTTATTTGACTGGAAAACTGGACACTTCTGTGAATCCCTTTTCTCCTAAATTTTAGAATATAGTAACAGTGGGGAAAAAAAATTGAACTTTAAAGTGAAGTTTGCTGTTGTCTGTTTTATCCTACAGGTATCTACATATTGCTTAACCCTCTGTTTTATGTTTCCAATGAATGCTAAATAGAGATAAAGAGCAGTTAGCAGCACCCGTTGTCTACTCGGCCCAGAAATCATGTGCTGAGTCATTTTAGGATGACATGCATGTTTGCTTGCAACATATCAGCTATTTCCAGAGTAAAATGATAGGACCATACATATAGAACTCATGTGGGATGTGGGCTACAATGAGAGACTCTTCTAGAAATGAAGAGTGATTTTTTATATATATATATATATATAGTAATTTCTAGCAAATTGGTGTAAATAGCACATTTGTATGATTTAAAAGAAATGATTTTAACATGGTATACCATCTCTCACAGGGCTTTAAAAAGGAGACTTCTTGTTACTTTTCAAGTGGGGAGACAGGGCACAGAAGGATTAAGTGGACTAAAACAACTCAATTACATTAGATGTCTAGTGCTAAATTCACCCAAGTTGAAAGGCAGTACAATGAAGACCTCAGTTGAAGATGTAGGATGTGCAAAGGTTTGTCCTCATATGTGCGCCAAGGTGAATTTCCCCAGATTTGGGGTGTTGAATTTCACCTCAAATCATGGTGAAATTCAACTCAATCTAGGAAAAAAATCAGTAAGATGATGGGCACATTCCTCAAGAGAGAGAGAAAATCATATGCTACCTAAAAATTAATAAATTTCTAATGACTAGCTAAATATTGTGGAGCTCTGTTTCTCCTTCTTGGACTTCTCTGCAGAAATGTCTTTAGGCCGCCAACACATGTAGGTGAAGCTCTTCTCATGATCCTCATTGCTGTCTGCTTCGGCCAGAGCCAAAAAGCTTATTTAAAAAAAAAAAAAAGACAAACCTCTGCTGTGAAGCATAGCACTAGCACAGCACTGTCACTGTCAGAGGAACTGGATAAGAGATGAGTACAGGTTTCCCTTGACAACCGCTGGGGTTAGGTTCCTGAAAATTCTCATGGTTGACAAAACTGTGGTTGGCAAGACAAAAAGCTTATGGGAAAAATGGCAGGTGGCAGACTGATGTGTAGCCATGGAAAACCGTGGTTTCTCAAAACTGTATACTGTGGTAGCCAAAATGGTATATAGAATATTAAGCGTGGATACTCAAAACTGTGGTTGGCAAGGGAAACCTGTATCTGTTCTTACTGCTAAGTGCATGGGTTTGTATGCAGGTAGAGTGGAAAGGTAAAACAACTACTCATTCTGGTTTGTGGGATGAGTCATAGTCCATCCTAGTCATGTAATGTCCAGGGGCCTCCTTACTTTTGAGATGCAGGAGCATGAAACAGTCTGTAAGCACAGGGGCTGGTGCAGAATCTGGGAGCAGCGAAGTCAAGCAACAGCTCAAGCAGGCTCCTCTGCTGCACGTGAACCTGTTCCCTCATTCCCCAGCCATGCTTTTGGATACTGCACAGCTGTTCTGTCCTCCCTCTCCCCCTCTTCCTCCTTCCCTCTTCCCCACCTTTCCTTTGTTCTCAGGTGCTCATCTCACCTATGCCCAATTCATTATGCAGTAGCTCATCCTCAATCCCTTTCCTCTTTCCACTGTGGTTCTGTGTCTTCTCTCCAGACCAAAGTGGCAGCCTGCTGCCAGAAGAAGTAAAGGGTCCTGCCAAAGAAATGAAAGAACATAGTTTGCCCATAGAGAGAGGCAAGAATCCCCTTGTTTTCTTTTTGTGTAAGGCCAAACCCATGGGTTCATATTGAATCGGCTTGTGGTACTTTCCTTTCTTTTCCGCACATTGGCCTGTTCAGAATGTACAGACAGTTAGCTTGCCAGCCACAGATGCAGTATGATAAGCATTTAATATTCATGTGTTTTGTTTTGTTCTTAAAAAATGGGACTTGGTTGGAGAAGATTTGGGATGATCATATTAGGAGTCTGTTTTCAGTATTATCTATAATATTATTTCAGGCCAAAGAAGTCTCTGAGGATGTTAACTTGTTCAAGATCCATGACTGGAAGGAGTAATTACCCTAGCCCAGGTGTTGGCTACTTTTAGGAATGGCAAGCTGAAATAATGCCATTCATTTTGTGATGGACCAGATCTTCAGACATGGCTGGCACTTTTCCTTCCCACTTGCCCAAATCTCCCTCCTGACTCCATTGCTTCAGAAGCCCTCTGCCACCAATAGCCAGCCCATGAAGCCTGAATAAAACACTCCATGGGCCAGATCTGGCCTGAAGACTGGAGCTGCCAGCCCTGCTCTAGGCTAGGGGTGGAATTCTGTCAAGGAGAAATTGTGGATAATTTATATGGGGATAGCTATTCTAGTCAATTTCCCCACGTAGCCCTTAACTTAGAGGACAGATTATTCCACGTCTGCTTAATACGATACTTCTTGCACCTTTCTCTGGATTTTCTGGTACTGAATATTGTCACAAGCAGCACACTAAGCTAAGTAGCCTGTGAGCTTAGATCTAGCTGACTATTCCTATATCTCCTAGTTTTGTTCCTCCTTCACTCTACTTGCCAGTGCTACAAGTACCATATGGGAATTTAAATGAATAAGTCTGTGCCAAACTGTCAATAGATGTCAGATTGTAAATTTGCTAGTTAAAAAATACAAGCTTACGCAATGTCAGCAGTCAACCTTTAGGCAAGTGTACCAGTAATGAAAACTTGGCTCTAAATCCCAGAAATCCAACCTAAGAATGGACATTTCCCTCATCCATTGCTTTAAAAACTATTAACTACACATAAGAAGTGACATACTAGGTCAAGCCAATGGTCCGTCTCACCCGGTATGCTGTCTTCAACAGTGGCAGAAGTAGATGCTATATACAGGTTGAGGATTGAATCAGATATCTCTAAAATGAAATATTCCCTAATCTTTTAGGGTTACTGCTTGGTTTTGCTTTGTCTTAATAAAGCAAGCCCAAAGGGGCATTAAAACTAATTGCTGTGGTATGGCCACTGTTCATATCAGGATTGAGGGACAAGATGACAGCAGTGTAAAAATGCTTAAAAATGCTACCTATTTAAGTCCTTGTAAAGTCATTCTAGTACAAAAGAGTAGAAGGTATCACCCCTTTAAGAGTTAATATTAATCCAATGCATTAACGTTAGCAATGTCTTGTAAAGTGTTGCTTCATTAACCTGAATATTTTTGATAAGCTCTTTAATTGCATATTCAACCTGATTAGTCGCTATGCAAATTTTGAGGAGGACACTCGATCTATATGAATTTATTGACCCACTATTGGCTTATAGGCTGAGAGATACCAGCATTTCCCACTGATATATTGGAATTTACCAAGGACCTTAGATGGGCAGGCCGAAGCTACCACAACGTTATAAAGAAAATATCTAAGAAGATGAAACTAAGAAGAAAAAGGTTGTGTAAATATCCCTCAGTGACCCTCATTACCTTTATCAAAGAGAACAAGTGTGGGGAGTGGAAAAGGGACAAGAACAAGAATTTTGGATGGTCTTGAATCAGAGTATTTCCCACTGCTATGTATATAGCTTTGTGCCTTTGGTATCATGCAAATGTGGGCAATTCTCGGAGAGGGTGGTCATCAGGCAATGTATACGACGCCACTAGGAACAACAGAGAAATTGAATTAAGATCACGAGGTAAACTGTTATTGTTAAGCTGAGCACCAAGGGATCTTTGGCTACAGCAAACTTTGCTTTTTTGACTACAGCTGAAAGATGGCATGCACTGAGTACACTGTATGCAGTGTTTCTCAATGGACAAACTTCTTTTGTTTCCTTTTTTTTCCTTAATCTATGTGCGTCTTCTCTATAATGTGCTGCATTATTTTACCTTACAACATGGCAGCTGTTCCTGCTACAAAGCAGGTTCCTAAAAATGTACAGATGCAGCACCAAGAATTTAAAGACAACAACTGAATACCTACATGCTTCACAAAATCAAAATTTTAACAGGAACTGTTTTCTTTAAAAATACCTTTTTTAGAAGATTTTGAAATGAAATAGTTGCACAGAACAGCTCTTTCTGCAGAGGTGATGATTATTTTCTTTATACATTTTCATCAGTATCCCTCTCATCTGTCTCTGTGAGCCCCTTTTTATTATTATTATTATTATTATTTAAATCCAATTAAATAAAAGACAGCTATCCAAGGTTCCAGGTATTCTCACATCTCCTTGCCAGTACAATAACATCTCAACAGCATTAAAATAACCAGTTCGGCCAATTGAACTCAACCCAAACCCTTACCTACAAAAACTCATTTCTGTCCCTGCATTCTTCCTCTTTAAAGCAAACCTTCGCCCTTCTCCAGAGAGTGTATCAAACATCTGTCCTTGTAGATGAAGCACTTTGTCTTCCCTTTACTGGATAAGTTCAAGGCCTTCACTATGCGAGGAAACCGATCAGCATCTCCATTGCAGAATAAATTGTTCTGCAACAGTTCCCTCTATAGATACTAAAATTCTGGAATAAGTTAGTTTTATTTTAGAATAATGCGTCTGCACAGAGAAGTATTTCACAATATCTCTTAAGGAGTAGCTTTTTCTTCAGTAGAATTGCTGGGACCTTCCTTTTTATGGCAGGGGATCCAGGTGCTCTTTTAAGACCATGGAAACTAGTCAAAGTGAAGACATGTTCAATTGTGAGGTTTTTTGGTGTAGTCTTCCTGCCTACCCCCTCTACCCAACAGCTGAAACTGAGTCCAAATGCATTACTCCTGTGTCCAAAACTGACTTCTCTGATTCCCCCAACAGCTTAAAAACACCTTTTCCCAGAATTACATTAAAAATGAGAGTCTTGTGGTTCAATTTCTCTCTTCAGAAGCCATGTGGGTGTTAAAAGTAAACATGTATATACAGGTAGGCTTTTGACAAACTTTACAACATAACATTACTTTTTGCTAAAAATGATACAAGAGCTTAAAGACCATTTGCAAACAATCTTATTCCTACGTGAAATACCATTCAATCTAGCTTGTCTTCCTTTAGAAGTCCCCACGTATCCATCTGTGCTTATGCAGGCAGTACGTGCCTTTTTACTGTACCCTTGATCAACCCTACAGCTATGGGTAACCTCTCAGTGAAAAGGGAGTTCAGCAGCTTTCCCCATTCACCAACATCTTCCTGTGCCTCTGTCTGATTCGGTTAGTCTATATAAGGTCTACCTTGTCATCTATACTATAGTAGTTCCTGTGACTATAGCAGGGTAGAACTAGCTTTAAAAAAGTGGCATGTTGCTCAGTGCAGGATAAATTCTTGGGCGGTTGGCCTATGCTGAGCTAATGTAGCTAGCCTGCTACCAATATCCAAACCAGACATTCTGAAGCAATACCAGTCACAGCAGGCCTTCTGCAAGACAATTTTAAAGGTTTTTTGTTAGCTTGGTAACTTTCAGATGTTCCAAGCCGAACCCTCAGTCAACAAACTTAGCCAGGCTGGTTTGTCTAGGCCTAACGTGGCCTACGAGGACTTAACTACTAATCGTAGTCCCTGGTCTGGGCAGGAAGCAATACACGTTGCAAGTTAGATTAATATGGTAGAGACATTCATGCTACAGCAACCATTACAGCAGCAACTGCATAACTTCATGTCAAAAATTAAGTTGTAGGTTGTACAGACAAGTTCCCTAAATCATCATCACCGATCTGTAGACATGTCCAAAAACTTAAATGGTTTGACAAATTTCTTTTGCCGGTTCAAATCTTGTTTCAAAACCCTGCTTATGTTCAGTAGGCAAAAAAAAGTGAGCTCTCCATCTACTGGCCCACTGAGAAAATGGCTCTGCTAGAAATTAGGAAAGGAGGGTTATGAGGAACAGGAAGAGCTGGAGTCTGACATGACAGAAATGCATTTTTGTTGGCCCCAAGGTAGAGTTAGTTGATTTATACTTTACCTTCTGTGTCTTATACTCAGTAAGGTCTGAAAAAAATGACATCATTCTGTTTTTTTATTCAGGAAATGCTCTTGTGTGATCACATTTGTACAAACTGACCTGTTTTACAGTAGGGACAACCATAGTTTTCAAGTGGAAAGGAGCATTTGTTAAGAGCATTTTATCAGGAATATTTATGTAAGTAGGGCAAGCAAGGTTTTTTGGAAGTCTGTGAGACTGATACACCTCAGTCGGGAAGCGCTTCTAAAAAGCTCACTGGAGATTTTTTTTAAAGTCTATAAAGGTGCATATTAATCTCTCTCTCTCTCAAACCCATATATATATAATATATATATTATATATATATGGGTTATATATACACGCTTGTGCTGTCTATATTATGTATGTTGCAGTTATATAGGTTTATCAGTCTCACAGACTTCCATATAAACTGCAACATGCATAATATAGACAGAGCACAAGCTTTTGTGACCCCCCAGTTCACGCCATCAGATGATGTGAAAGGACAGCACTGAGCAGAGTATGAAGTACTGTGAGTGATTAGAATACAGATTTTTTTCTTTTTTTGGCTTAAGACCAAATTAGTTCTGCATTTCAAATGGACTGAGCTGAGCTCAATCTTTAAGTCTGTGTGGCTCTAATACAGGGCAAGTCTCCTCCCTCCCCAGTTCATCAATTCAGGAATTTGCATATTCCCCAAATCCTCGGCAGGCATCCTACATGCAGGCCCTAGGCCCAAAGGTGTTCGGAGTTCAGATGCCCCCTAGTCACTCTTGCTCCTAGCCAAAAAGCAAGCCAGGAGGAAAGCATGAATGTAGTCCCATTATCACAAAATTTTGCAGCTGCGTTTCCTGCATTTGACAACAGAAGCGTTCCCCTGCCTGTAGCGGAAGGCACCAGCCTAGATTAGGGCACAGGAGATGGGAAAGCAGGCCCACCTGTGTGTGTAAGAGGATAGTGCGGAGGGGCACACAAGTGTGCATGAATGTGTGCACACGTGCTAAGGCACAGAAATATGGTGTGTGTGATGTCATCTATGTCATGCAGTGTGTGATGCATGTCACCCAGTGTGTGTGTGATGTACGTTATGCAGAAATGTGATGTGTCATGTATGTCCTGCAGAGTGTGTGTGAGATGTATGGCATGCAGGTCCTCCGGCGGCCCGTGTCCCTGCCGTGCACACCTCATAGCGGAAGGCGCTCACACACCGGAGTGGACAGGCACCACCCCCGCCCCCTCCAGGTTGGTGTGGAAACGCGAGAGCTCCCAGCCCCCCTCCCCCGCGGTGCCGGAAGCAGGCCCTGGTGCCGCAGCAGGCACAGCTGCTTTCTCCGCCCGGCCCGAGGCCGCGGCGCTGGCAGGGGAGCGCTGCGAGGGGGCGGAGCGAGTAAGGGT